CCTGGGGTGGCATATTTTGGGTCCCTGCCCAGCCCGTCCTGCCACCCTTGCTGCCCTCACCTCCACAACGGGGCTGGCACTTACTGTCTCAGCAGCAGAACACAAGTTTACCAAAGCTTTAAAGGACTTTAAGATCCTTCATGGTGTTTTTTTCCCAAGACAAAGTTAGAACCTGTTGCCCCCAGGGCGTGCTGCCTGAGCCAGGGCTCCCAGAAAGCCCCGGCAATTAGGGAGGAATGGAAGGGAACGTTTGTGGGTAATTACTGGCTGGTTAAGTCAGTTTAGTTCTGCTGCAGGTTTCCTTCTGCTCCAAGAGTTTATATTCGGTTGGGTGTTTATATTCATTACCCTCATTTATATTCAGATCCTTGCCAGGGGGCCTGCAAGTTTGGAAAGGAGATATTTATTCAAGTAATTACTTTAAAAAAAAAAAATAATCCAATCCTCTTTGTAGGAGATGTCAAGAAAAGCTTTGGGAGAGGTTTTTGTGGTGCCCTGGAAATCCAGCCACCTCCAGCTCCCCAGGTCAGTGCTCCAGAAATGGGGAGAGGTTTCTGCTGGAAGGAGGTAAAGGGGAACCAAGCACCAGCCTGCCTGGAATGAGAGGAAAGGGGAAAAACACTGACCAAAAACAATGGAAGTCTCATCATTGACCTTGATTTTGTTACTAGCAGGTGACTGAGATGAGGATGGAATGAGTTCAGGTCCTTGAGTAACTGTGCAGCTACTTGAACTGTAATAACAAGTGATGGGACAAGAGGAAACAGCCTCAAGTTGCCTCAGGGGAGGTTGAGGTTGCCCCTGAGGAACAATTTCTTGCCCTGGAGGGTTGCCCAGGGCTGTGCCAGGCTGCCCAGGGCAGTGGTGGAGTCCCCACCCCTGGAGGGGTTTCCAAGCTGTGGAGATGTGGTGTGAGGGACACGGGGCAGTGGGGACCTGGCAGGGCTGGGGGATGGTTGAACTCCATGATCTGAAAGGTCTCTTCCAACCCAAAAGATTCTGTGATTCAAGTGAGAAATAAAGCAATCACAATCTAAAATAAATGTACAACACCCCAGCTGCTTCTTTCGAGGTGGATAAACCCCGGGGCAGAGGGAGCATGTGCCCCAGCTGAGGGCAGGAATCGGCCTGGCTGGGAAATGCACAAATCACCCAGGAGCTGTTTGACTCCCTGGCAGCTCTGCCCGGGCAGAGCCAGCCCTGGCAGCCAGGGCACGGGGATCCTTGGCTGGCTCCAGCTC